TCAACTTTGTCATAAATTTGATTATAGAAACAGCCCTATCCCCGTGCGAGGATAACGGTTTCAATATACTCCCAGGAGGGAGACTGTCTAATTTGGAGTATGCAGACGACATTGTGCTCCTAAGTGAAGATCCAGGTAAGAGGCAAACTTTTCTGGATAGCTTGAATGCCAGCGTAGCCATGTTCGGTATTCATTTTGCACCTTAAAAGTGTCAGATGCTACTTCAAGGCTGGTTTGTTCCACCACCCAACCTAACTCTAACTGAAGAAGTAGTAGATCAAGTGGATAAGTTTTGCTATCTGAGCAGCTACGTCTCACCCGGTGGACGCTTCACGGCTGAAATGTCAGCTCGCATTCAGAAGTCTCGGTTGGTATTTGCCAACTTGAGACATTTGTGGCACCGTCGCGACATCCGGCTGTCCTAGAAGGGTCGAGTATATGCTGCATTAGTTCGGCCAATCCTGCTCTACGGTGCAGAGACTTGGCCACTACGGAAACAGGACCAAAATAGGTTGTCGGACTTCGAACACCGGGAGTCTGGGTCATATAGGTCCCGTTAGGCTCCCTGGATGGGGGCCTCGGGATGATCGTAAGCGATGGTTAGAGACACAGAATGATATGGCTGGGTGTTGTAAAGCGTGACGTTCGTGCATCTTCTCAATTTCCTTGCAACATAAGTCCACTGAACTTCTCAATTGTCTCTTCGATCCTAGTTTGAATCTTCCTGTTTTCCTCCTGTTGTTCCTCCAAATGGGCAGCCAAGAGACAGCAACTAAAACCGGCGCACAAAAGTGCCTGCCTAATGGCTGTTCAAACTGAACTGAAACTTCGATCCGGCCTAGTTGTCACGTGCGGATGGCGCAGATTCACCGATGCACCAACTCGATGACTGTCAGCGAGCTCCACAAGATGCAAGATTAAGGTCTACCCCATTTCGACAGAAAGAACGCGAGAAGACAGGTTTTTAATCAGAAGTTGATTAAATATCTGAACCATTGACCGATTTGGTTTGACGCTGCTGAATGACTGCTGTTTCATGAGGTTGTGCTACAGTTAGTTAATAACAGGGACATAAGTCTGACTCCGATCGAAACTGTTAGCGCGTGTTTTCAACGGTAAATGTGCTCCAATTGGCGAAGGGCAAATCCGTGAACAGCGCTCTGGGTTCCGCGCATGTGACGGCTTGCATCGATCAAATCTTCAGCTATCGGAGCACCATCACATATAGACGGTAAGCTATCGTGATGCTTTTGGACTTCAAAACATTCTTCGGAAAAATCGGTCGCCCTTCTCTGCGAACAGCCTGCTGTGATACTTAGTACTCGAGAAGTATGTTTGATTCTAAGGGCGTTCTACTGCCAGACCTCAAGCAATGTTAAGGAGTATGGTGAGCTTTCAGCTTTGTATTCTGTCAACGGTTGTTTATAATAATTGCCATATCCACCTCTGTTTCGGTTGAAATTTACCGTAGATATCCTGTAAAAACCGTTGCCTAATATATACACTGGTCACTCTTGACCACTAGTCTGATGTTCATGTCATTGCTGTTATCACCTTACGAGACGTTCAGTTTTCTCCCTGGTGTCTGTCATGTTGACTTTATTTTAAAAATTCTATCGCTTTGTTCCGCAGTTGGAGACTAACTCGTCGCATGATTTATTCTTAAATTTGTGTTTCAGTACCGTATTCTTATACACTGTTTTTGACGCGAGGCATTTGGTCTTATGAGCCATGAGACACTTCACTCGATGCCATTCAATTGTTCATCTCATCGAATGAATACATTAAACGTGGACAAAATAAGCGGAGTGTTTTCTTCTCATGACTTCTCACCTAATGTCACCAACAGGCTAGGTCGCGTTTATCCATCGTATATGCTGCTTTTAACAAATATAACCTGACTTGCTCTACTTTCGTTACCGAAGAACTGGTAGTCAAACACGAAACTTCTGAGGGTATACATTATGTTATTGATCACTGGTCATGGACTGGGTTGAACCCCCCCCCCTCCATTCCTGAACCGTATTGCAGCCCTTAAGTAGGAATCCTTAAGTGTTAAACTCCATGTTTACCTCATTCAATTAACAATCACGTCTAAAGATGATTTTCTTCCTGAAGTTTATATAGGCAATATATATATGTATATGGAAATCATCTTGTTTATTGCTCTTATCGGTTTCTCACAATTTAGGATTTGCCGATCTTGCGGGTTATACGAATTACTGGTTTATGGTGGGTGAATCTATGACCAATGGGAACGCATGCCAACGTTCTTTCCCCGCGACCTTAGCCACACTGAAACGGGCACAGATGCATCCACCTGTTTGCTCATCAAAATTCACTCCCAGTCCGGTTTTACCTCGGGTACCGGCCCGTTCCAGTTCGATGGAGCCAAGCGTGCCCATGGGCCCCGTACCACAAACATCATCCGGTCGAGCTGCTGTTCCAACCGCCTTGCACTACGCACCGTCCCGCGAAAGCCTGATAGACAATCTTGGTAAGCTTTTACCGATCACCTCCTCCTGTGTACCATTTTATTCCAATGATACCACCACGTACCTCTATAAAATATCCCTTTGTTGAATAAAATGGTGTCAGTTTACTTAAATCGCCCAGGTGACCATTGTGAGGTGAAGGTAATTTTTTTTTATATTTCGGATTGCCCTGGTCTTTTGTACAGTGCTACCATAGGTTTTGCTTACTTTCTCGTCTTCACTCCTTTTATACGCTGGAGGCAGATGAATAAGCATAATTATGTATTGATCGGTTGAAAAGACGAGTCACAATCATTTGATCACGTGCCTTCACTGCCCAATCCAGACATATGATAGCTTTCTGCTATTGCTTATGTCTGTAACCGTCTCAATAGAAATTAACTAATGGTGCGCTCATTGTTCCTTACCGTTTCCATTCGATTGGTTGGCTGGACTATGGTGACAAATTGCTCGTTAGCTGGTTGCATGAGATATCGTTCTAATTGGTGATGAATAGCACGCCACTCTCGGGTCGTCAATTTGTACATGTGTTTTACTAACATTGTTTTTGTTATTCAACCATTAGCATGAAACAAACAATTCGGGCAAACAAGATCTCAGTAACCAAATGTAGAAGAAGAGGACAATAACTTGAAGATTTTCCTTTGAAAATGTTCATACTTTTTTACAGTACGTGATTCTGGGTGTTTTTGTGAATTTGTCCTGCTTGACTGAGTTGATTCATCTTCTGTTGAGTTTGTTGCCACATCACCATATGGTTTTCAGTGTTCTCATTCGTGCGCCAAACCGTTGGTGTGGATTTCAGCGATCGATCGATTGTGGTGCTCGTCTGAAGCGAAAGTGTCGCACAGTTTTTTAGCCTTGGGGCCTGAGAATATATTTGATCTCATCCCCGTATCAAGCAGCTGCGTTTGTCCTGGCTATCTGAAACCGACCGACTCTATTTCTTTCCGAGCATGACACTCACGCTCATTTTCGTATAATATTAGTAGCAGTAGTAACAAATTCATTATCCAACCATTCCCTTCGATCTGAAGGCAGCTTTCGACTCAGTCGACCGCACAATACTCTGGCGCCACGGAAAGCGGTGTTCGTCAGTGGTGCCCTTTCTCCTTTTCTATTTATCTTTAAATTACTTAATTCCGATCGCCCGCCGGAGCAAGTGGTCGACTTCCGTGCAATATATTGGTTTGGGCATGTCACCAAATAGGTTGCCACGGCGCATGATGCTTATCGAGTCAGGTATTGGGTAGGAAAAAGTCAAGGGCGCTCAGACTGCTACCTGGCATAAGGGTACGAGAACCCTAACCAGAAAATTCGGTCATCTAGGTCCCGTTAGGCTCCCTGGATGGGGACCCTGATATCATGGTCACCGGAGATTAGAGGTGCTGAATGATATAACTGTTTGTCGCAAACAGTGGCGCTGATGCATTTACTCATTATTCTCTTATCGCCAGTCTTTATGAATGCTCTAGCTTTCGCTTGAATTTACTTTCAATATTCAAACCTTAATCCTGCTCTTTTATCTAAATGGGCGACCAAAAGACAGCAACCAAAACCGACGCACGAAAGTGCATGGGTAGTGGTTGTAAAAACTAAAACTGCAAACGTTCTGGTTCCCAGCATTTTATCGGATCTTTCAGTCATGTGCATAAGTCCAGCTATTGTGAATCTGTCAATCGCATATATTTTGTCTATAGTAAAATATTGCCTGTCCTCTCCCGCCTCAATCTAATCGACGGTAAACAGTGTCAGATCGATGTCGGCTTATCCGTATTCTTAATTTAGTTTCTTTTGTGTTTTAACTCACTGACAGATGAAGCAGAACTTGTCATAGCCAAATGCAACTTGCTATGACCGAGACAATCATGAATTTCCGTGGAACAAGCATTTATGAGGCATCGTTCATCTTGGATGAATTGGTATTATGCCGGAACCCACTTAGTCTTCTATATCTCATGAAGACTTATCCGTCGAGCTGCAGTGAGAAATAATGTGATTAGGTCTCGGTGTTGCGTACTGTTATGGCTCTGTGCGGTTTGGTTATAGTAGATGGTTTTACTCTGTTCCAGTGATACATTATCATTAAGAACAATAGTGTTTAATCAAGTAGCCACATTCAGTAACCCTGCCGAGGAGATTTTGTTGTCCTGTTTACAACTGGACCGATTGTTTGATTTATCCTGCTCACTTCTGCACGCGCTATTTATACGTTCGGCTTCCTTTTTTCCTGAATAGGTACCCCTCCCTCGGACAAAGGGAGTATCCCGGTTACTCCAATGACCTCGAACTGCTCCCCCAATTTACAATCCTGTCGTGCAACCGGCGAGTCACAAACACCGACCTGTGTGGTCTCACGATTAAATGTGATCATGACCACGTGCAATAGTTGTCCTAAATGTAAACGGTTTGTACACGATGAAGAAATCATGGCTGCATGGTCCCCGGACGAGAATGAGT